AAAAAAAAAAAAAAAAAAAAAAAAAAAAAAAAAAACTACATGCCTAAATAAGATTGTTCACTGCCATTTCCTTGCAGGCCAAAGGCTTCCAAACATGTGTAATATACTCCCAAAGGAAAGGCATACAAGAAAAACATCAGAAATAATTATTTTCCTGGAATCTTATAATAATCAATAGTTAACCAAGATCCAGTTGCTATAAGCTGCACGCTAGACACTAAAGAACACCACAAATGCGGCAAGATGGTTTTGCATAAAAATGTCTTCAATTCACATAAAACAATAAAATCCAGGCAGCTTGTATTAGCTACCATTTTAGACAACAATCTCCAAAGTAAAAGGCAAACTTCAAAGAGGTAAGCTCGAAGTTCCTGTTCCTACAGCACATTACAGAATTTCTATAAAACGCATTTTAAAGTGGTCTTTACAAAATAAAAAACACTAGTTAACGGCCCTTACCTTTTCTAGTAGGGAGCTCTCCGTTCTGGGTTGATTCTGTTCCAGTGTATACAATTTCTCCATCTTTAACCATTTCATTCCACAAACCACAGAGTCCATCTCTCGTGAAAGCAAGCTGGTAATGATAAACGAGGTAAGTTTATGGAGTGCTCATACTCACATTGCAATTTTTCAAGAATGGTATGAAAAAAACTCAATCCACCTTATGTATTGAATCATTCATTAATAAAATCAATGATTTAGTAAATTAGTGACTTAACCATTTTACATTTAATGAAAATCATCCAGGAAATGTAAATGAGAGTAATAATAGTGTACATACTATCCTACCTCTTGTGTGACATACAAGAAAAAAAAAAAAATGTGGCCGGGCACAGTGGCTCATGTCTGTAATCCGAGCACTCTGGGAGGCCGAGGCAGGCAGATCACAAGGTCAAGAGATCAACACCATCCTGGCCAACATGGTGAAACCCCGTCTCTAATAAATAAATAAACAAACAAAAATACAAAAAATAAAAATACAAAGAATTAGCCAGGTGTGGTGGCATATGCCTGTAATCCCAGTTACTCGGGAGGCTAAGGCAGGAGAATAGCTTGAACCCAGGAGGCGGAGGTTTCAGTGAGCTGAGATTGCACCAATGCAGTCCAGCCTGGGCAACAGAGGGAGACTCCATCTCAAAAAAAATAAATAAATAAATAAGATTTTAAGTGTAAAAGATGGGGGGAAATCAAAGAAATTTTGAAAAACAACTTGAACTGGAAATCTATGAACTTTACTTTTTTTTTTGAAACGGAGTCTTACCCTGTCACCAGGCTGGAGTACAGTGGCACAATCTTAGCTCACCACAACCTCCGTGTCCTGGGTTCAAGTGATTCTCCTGCCTTAGCCTCCCAAGTAGCTGTAACTACAGGTACACTACCACGCCCAGCTGATTTTTGTATTTTTAGTACAGACAGGGTTTCACCATGTTGGCCAGGATGGTCTCAATCTCTTGACCTCATGATCCACTCACCTTGGCCTCTGGGATTACAGGCATGAGTCACCACACCCAGCCTGAACTTTACTTTTGAATATATTTGCTTACTCTGTTTTTGGAAAGGACTAGAATCAATGGCAATCTGACAGCAAGTATCCAGATACTGGTCTCTGAGTACCATTTACCACTAAAACAAACCAGCGCTCTTGGGGGAAAATAGGTAGATTCAAGGGCCAGGGCAGACAAAGATGAGCCTGGAATATCTTGTTTCCTCAAAGAAAAAGCTGTTCAAGGCCTGGTGCGGAGGCTTACACCTGTAATCCTAGGATTTTAGGAGGCCGAAGTGGCAGATCACTTGAGGTCAGGAGTTTGAGATCAGCCTGGCCAACATCGCAAAACCCCGTCTTTACTAAAAATACAAAAATTATTTGGGCATGGTGGCAGGCACCTGTAACCCCAGCTACTCAGTAGGCTGAGGCAGGAGAATCGCTTGAACCCAGGAGGCAAAAGTTGCAGTGAGCCAAGATTGTGCACTGCACTCTAACCAGGATATCAAGAGCGAGACTTCGTCTCCAAAAAAAAAAAAAAAAAAAAAAGCTATTAAAAGACTGATAAAGACTCCCGGCCAGCTTTAAAATAATTATTAACAACTGTGAGTATCAAAATGAAAACCACCTTTGTTCATCAGCATTTGTGAGTCAGAAAAGCTTTCCCAGAACAGGAAAAGACAGCATTTCAGACATGGGGGAAGGCATCCATTCTGAAAACTGCAAATGCAACAGAAGCCCTCTTGTTTGGCCAAAAAAAAGCATTTTTAATTAAAAGAGACCAATATGTTTGCCCATTTTTTTTAACTTCTGTAGATACACACTAGCTGTATGTATGCATGGGTTACAGGAGCTGTTTTCCTACAGGCACACTAAGCGTAATCATTGCATCAGAGTAAATGAAGCACTCAACACCTAAAGCATTCACCCTTTGTGTTACAATCCAATTATACTTCATTTTTAAATGGACAATAAATTGACTGTGGTCACCCTGTTATGCTGTCAAGTACTAGATTTTTATACGTTCTATTTAACTCTATTTTTACACCTATTAACTACCCGCACTTCCTGCGCACTGTCTTTCCCAGTCTCTGATAATCATCATTCTATTCTAGCTCCATGAGTTCAATTACTTTCATTTGCTTAGCTCCTACAAATAAAAGAGAACATCCAAAGTTTGTTTTTCTGGGTCTGGCTCACGACATTCCGTCCCTGACTTAACACAATGAACCTCCAATTCTATCCCTGTTGTTGCGAAAGACAGTATTCCATTCTTCTTTATGGCTGAATAGCACTCCATTGCACATATATACCACTTTTCTTTATCATTCATCTGCTTGGGGACACTGAGGCTGCTTCCAAATCCTGGTTATTGTGAATACTGGTGCAATAAACACAGGAGTGTAGATGTTTCTTCAACACACTGATATTCTTTCCTCTGGGTATATACCTACCAGTGGGATTGCTGGATCATTTGACAGTCCTATTTTCAGTTTTCGGAGGAACCTCCAAACTGTTCTCCCTATGGCTGTGCTAATTATATTCCCACCAACAATGTACAAGGGTTCCCTTTTCCCCACATGATGGCCAGCATTTGTTCTTGTGTTCTGGGTATAAGGGGGAGATCTCACTGTCATTTTGATTTGCCTGCCTCTGATGACCAATTATGTGGGGCACCTGTTCATACTGCCCGTTTGCCATTTATCTTTTGAGAAATGTCTATTCAAATCTTTCACCAATTTTTATTGGATTATTAGATTTTTTCCTATAGAGTTGCTTGAGCTGCTTATATGAATCCCTTGACAGAACGGGTAGCTTGCACATACTTCCTCCCTTTCTGTGGGTTGTCTCTTCATTTTGTTGGTTCTGTTCTTTGCTGTGCAGAAGGCTTTTAACTTGAAGTGAGCCTATTTGTCCATCTTAGCTTTCGTTGCCTGTGTGTATGAGGTATTACTCAAGAAAACACTACACAGTGCAATGTCCTGGAGAGTTTCCTTAGTGTTTCTTTTTTAGCACTTTCATAGTCTGAAGTCCTAGGTTTAAGTCTTTAATCCATTTTGATGTGATTTTTGTATACGGTGAGAGACAGGAGTCTAGTTTCATTTTTCTGCATATGGATATCTCATTTTCCCAGCACCATTTATCAGTGAGACTATCCTTTCCCTAATGTATGCTCTGGGCACCTCTTACAAAAATAAGTTCACTGTAGATGTATGAACCTATTTCTGGTTTCTCTATTCTGTTCTATTGGTCCAGGTGTCTGCTTTTATACCAGCACCATGCTATTTTGGTTATGATACCTTTGTAGTAAGATCTGCACTTGATCTAAGCCAAAAGAGACCAAGAAGTGACCGTAGAATAATTTTAAGTCAAGTAATGCAATTTCTCTAGTTTTGTTTTTAGCTCAGGATGGCTTTGGCTATTTTATCTATTTTGTGACTCCATATAAAATTCAGGATTTTTTTCTGCTTCTGTGAAGAATGGCATTGGTATTTTCATAGGGATTACACTGATTCTGTAGATTGCTTTGGGTAGCACAGACATTTTAACAATATTAATTCTTCCAATCCATGGACTATTTTTTCCATTTTTTTGTGTGTCTTCAATTTCCTGTATCAACATTTTACAGTTCCTATAGTAGAGATCTTCACTGCTTAAGTTCATTCCTAGATATTTTGCTTTTACTTTAATTGTAGCTATTACAAATGGGATTTTTAAATTTTTCATATTGCTCACTGTTGATGTATAGAAATGCTACTGATTTGGCTGGGTGTGGTAGTTGACGCGTATAATCAATCCCAGCACTTTGGGAGGCCAAGGCGGGTGGATCACCTGAGGTCAGGAGTTCAAGACTAGTCTGGCCAATCTGGTGAAACCTCCTCTCGACCAAAAATACAAAAATTAGCCAGCCATGGTGGCAAATGCCTATAACCCCAGCTACTCAAGCAGCTGAGGCAGAAGGATCACTTGAACCTGGGAGGCAGAGGTTGCAGTGAGCCCAGATCAAGCCACTGCACTCCAGCGTGGGGGACAGAGTGAGACTCCATCTCAAACTACTGATATTCTTATGTTAATTTAGTATCCTGCAATTTTACTGAAATTATCAGTTCTAATGATTTTTTGGTGCAGATTTTCGGTTTTTCCAAATAATCATCTGCAAACAAGGATAATTTGGCTTCTTCATTTCCAATTTGGGTGCCCTTTATTTATTTTTGTTTTTCCTCAGATAGAGTCTTGCTCTGTAGCCCAGGCTGGAATACAGTGGCACAATCTCGGCTCACTGCAACCTCCACCTCCACCTCCAGGCTTCAAGCAATTCCCCTGCCTCAGCCTTCCACGTAGCTGAGACAACAGGCAGCCGTCATCATGCCCACCTAATTTTTGTATTTTTCGTAGATATAGGGTATCACCATGTTGGCCAGGGTGGTCTCAAACTCCTGAATTCAAGTGATCCATCTACCTCAGTCTCCCAAAGTGCTGGGATTACAGATGTGAGCCACTGCACCTGGCCTTTAGTTCTCTCTCTTATGTAGCTACTCTAGCCAGGACTTCCAGTATTACATTGAAAAACAGTGGTGACAGTGGGCATCCTTGTCTGTTTCAGATCTCAGAGAAAAGGCTTTCAGTTTTCCACCTTTCAGCATGATGCTAGCTGTGTCTCTTATATATGGCTTTTATCATGTTAAGCTATGTTCCTTCTATAATCAGTTTTTTTAGGGTTTTTATCATAAAAGGATGTTAAATTTTATCAAATGCCTTTTCAGCATGAATTTAAATGATTACATGGTTTTTAACCTTCATTCTACTGATACGATGTATCTAACTGGTTGACGTTACCCAGGCTGGAATGCAATGGCCTGATCTCGGCTCACCACAACCTCTGCCTCCTGGGTTCAGGCAATTCTCCTGCCTCAGCCTCCTGAGTAGCTGGGATTACAGGCACGTGCCACCACGCCCAGCTAATGTTTTGTATTTTTAGTAGAGACGGGGTTTCACCATGTTGACCAGGATGGTCTCGATCTCTTGGCCTCGTGATCCACCCGCCTCGGCCTCCCAAAGCGCTGGGATTACAGGCTTGAGCCACCGCGCCC